TGCTAATAAGACGTGAAATCACGAAACCCATACACACACCTCGTTAGACTTAATGAAAGATGCCCCAACTTCGATCTATTAAGAGATTCTTTGAAATTGCTCTTACAAAATACATTTGGTGCAGATCAACATTAGAGCGAATTTTAAATAAAAATTACACATTACGTAATTATATTTTGAGTCTTACATTCTCTTACACATAGCCTTTGAAGTTTGGAATATTATACATTTCATTAATGAATCTTTCTAAGTGGATATTGTCTATAAAGTTATATAATCATTAATTAGTGTATTTGAGCCCAGATAAACATGTGTAATCGCATATTTACTTTTAATTAAGCAATAGAACGCATTAAATTATAAGCTTGCTTGCTCGCCTAATATAAAAAAGCGTGATGACATGAGAAATATTTTATAATTTTGTATTAATGACATCTTGAATAAAACATTCAATTCTTAGTTTTGATTTCTAACATATAGTATTCAAAAGTACTTGGATTGGCTTTAATTAAATTTTACGTTATTATAAATCAAATATAAAAAATTAAGTCCTAACATAAAATTTAATATCTAAATATTGAAATAAAAATAATGTAAAATAACGTAATTTATTTATATTTTTTATTATTCGTTTTTATACGTTTTATGTACTGCGCGGGACGCTTAGTCTCATTGGCGCTACTGTACATTAATAGCATGACTTAATTACGTCTTTTCGTTATGGGATGTCGCGCCTTTTTATCTAGAAATTTAGCCCCAGCTCTAATTGCATGGTTTTTACTTATATCCATAACTTCGGTGTATTTCTATTTTATGTAAATATTCTTCTTATTTAATCAATTTAGCTGTTGGGATATTAGTTTAAAGAGCAGTCTTGCTCTTGCTGTTGTTCATTTTGTGTTGGTTGTGTATCTCATGATTAATTTTTCTCGTGCAACATTTATGGACCCAGGGTATCTTCCTGCTGGTTTGCTTCTTTTTCTCTTGACTTTGAAGGAGTACCAGGCGAAGGCTTATCAGCTGCAGATAGAGTTCAAAACCAACAAGCTATAATGCATAGATCGGTTGAGATTAATGGCGTTGTTACACGCCTTAAGTGGTGCACCACTTGCGAGTTTTATAGACCTCCCAGATGTTCTCATTGCTCTATTTGCAAACATTGTATTGATGTAAGTTGGCCAAATTGACTTATAAATGCCCTTTTAGACTTTTGATCACCATTGTCCATGGCTGAACAATTGCATTGGAAAGCGAAATTATCGATATTTTTTTATATTTCTTATTGCTTTAACTGCGCACATGTTTGGAACCTTTACTGTGACGCTAAGCTTTGTAATGTTTTATAAGGATAAGATAGGCAACTATCAAACTATTATAGCGTATCCTCTCAAAATGATTATATATTCCATATTATTTATTTTATCCTTAACTGATCATAGTATTGTCGTCCTTGTACTTGTTGGATTGCTTTTAATCCCAGTTGTGGGATTAACTGGCTTTCATATATTCCTGGTTTCTAATGGCAGGACTACAAATGAACAGGTTTGATGATTATTTGTTTATCTCAGGTTACTTTTAAATATCGTTTGGGCCTTAATCCATTTGATCGTGGGTGTATTTATAATTGGTTGCACATTCTTTGTGGGCCGCAAAATGCCATGTAAGTCTCACTCTACAATTTTATTTATCATTAGATTTATAAATCCACATAAAAGTATTAAAAAATCTGGCAAACTACGAGATAAATTCTCTTATGAGCAATACAGTGGCAATCTATATTCTTCTTCTGCCCCAGAACCTGCAAACTTTCCACTTGGAGAAGTAAGCATTCAATTATGCTA